AGTCTTTTATACCAGTCACTTTCCCTCTGGTTCAAGAATTTGTCCTCAGCCAGTTTTCCTGTGGTTCTGGGCGATGTCCGTTCCGTCTTTTAGCTGTATTTTGAAGTGGTTGTGCGAGGCAGCTAACTTCGTTGTTTACCTATGCCGCCATCTTGGTTTCTCCGAGTCCCAGATTTGACACATCCTTGGAAGTCCCTTGACCTCTGACCTTTGTTTTCTTCATCTGAAAATGGAGATAATAATAATAACCACCCCATAACATCAGTAATGAGGATCAATAAAGGTACTTTGCTTTAACCGGTTTGGCTCGGTGGGTAGAGCGTCGGCCTGCGGACTGAAAAGTCCCAGGTTCGATTCCGGGCAAGGGCATGTACCTTGGTTGCGAGCACATCCCCAGTAGAAGGTGTGCAGGAGGCAGCTGATCAATGTTCCTCTCTCATTGATGTTTCTAACTATCTCTCTCCCTTCCGCTCTGTGAAAAATCAATAAAATATATATTTTTAAAAAAAGGTACTTTATGATCTTTGAAATGAAATACAAATGTTAGTTGCCACTGATCTTAGTTGAGAACAAAGGGCAGCAGAAGCTTCTTTAAAAACATCTTCCTGGTCAGAGGCTTTGGGAAATGCTTTCCTGCTGCTCTGTTAGTGGTGGGTTCTCTTCTGAGGTGTTTTGCTTTTCTCTACTTTATTTCTTGTCATTTGGAGAAAGCACCATACTGCTGAAAATGCTTTTTGGAAAAAACAAAGGTATTATTTGCTATTTTCAAGTGCTGTTGCTGAGTCTTTTTTTTTTTTTCTTGGTGTATCTGAGCATTAGGTGGCAGTAATTCAGTCATTATGGTCAGATCTGCTCCTGGCTTGGTAATATTAGCACTCTGCAGCTGTGTGCTCCCCAAGTTCTGTCAGTGTATTTATCACAAACCGGAGCAGCTCATCAGTACCATTGTCTTACTGTGCGAGCTTCCCGCATTCCATCTCCTGGCTTTTCCTCACACAATGTTCTTTCTTCATACCTACAGATTTCTGCTTAAGTGCCTTTGTCAGAGTATTTTGGAGTCTCCGTGATTTGGTCAAGAACATTTTTTTCTGAATGATAGGCATTGATGCATCAGGGTGTAGCATGGGGAAAAGCACACAGGCGTAGAGTTAGAAACACTCAAGTCTGGTCAAGCCTCCATCGTTTATTACACCAGTTCTATTTATGTTGGGTTCCACCCTAGAGATTTTGATGTACTTAGTGTGGAGGGGCCTGAACATCTGGACCCTTAAAACTCCCCAGGTGATTTTACTAAGTTGGAGACCCACTGACTATATAATAATGAGGAGTTACTCAATGGTTCTAGGCCTCAAGTTTCCTTGTATGTAAAATGGGTACAATAATACCTCTTCTATAGCAATTGCTGTGGGGATTCTAGAAAATGCCATATGATTTCAAGGGAGCTGGAAAGGCCCACACTTCTAAATCTTCAGTATGCTTCTACCACCATGTCTTTTCTACTGCCATCAGGTCCCTCCTAACAGTGTCCCTAGTTAATCTGGCTCATCACTGCTCCCTTGAGGGAATATTTTTTTAAAATATATATTTTATTGATTTTTTACAGAGAGGAAGGGAGAGAGATAGATAGTTAGAAACATCAATGAGAGAGAACCATCAATCAGCTGCCTCCTGCACATCTCCTACTGGGGATGTGCCCGCATCCCAGGTACATGCCCTTGACCGGAATCGAACCCGGGACCTTTTGGTCCGCAGGCCGACGCTCTATCCACTGAGCCAAACTGGTTTCGGCGAGGGAATCTTTTTTGAATTCACATAGGATATCTGCTGGCCAGGGACCTTCTAATCTGTACCTATGGAGCCAGCATAGCTGTCACATCCAACAAGCAGTATTCTAAGTTTGAGGAACATACACACCTTGTGTTAGGGTCAGGCTCTGCCCCATTGACATTCTCTACCCTGGACCCTGATTGTTGCCTGTGTCTCCCTTACTGCAGCTGGCTTTTTGCCTCCGAGAGTGATGACCCTGCTCACCATCCCCTCCAAACAAGCTATTCCTACATTATTTAGCTTGTCTACAGTTCATGTTCTTGCTTCACACCCCTGAGCCTTCCAGCCTTTGGGCACAGCCCAGGCCCTGTCCCTCTCATGATGCTTACTCTCATCCCTCAGTTTGAGCTGTGAAGTGTCTGGCACATACTTTTGGGTGCCAGTGTCTGCCAAAGCATTTTTTAAAATATATTTTATTATTTTTTTACAGAGAGGAGGGGAGAGGGATAGAGAGTTAAAAACATTGATGAGAGAGAAACATCGATCAGCTGCCTCCTGCACACCCCCCACTGGGGATATGCCCGCAACTAAGGTACATGCCCCCGATTGGATTTGAACCTAGGACCCTTTAGTCCGCAGGCCGACGCTCTATCCACTGAGCCAAACTGGTTAGGGCTGCCAAAGTATTCTTGATGTGCTTGCCTCATTTCCCCTGCTCAGCTAAAAGCTTCAAGAGATCAATGACTGTATATTTCTTGCCTTTCCATCTCCCCAGTACCTAGAACTATTAGTACATATCTAGGTGCCCAGAATGTGCTGATTGAGTGAAAGGAGGATCTCATATGTTCTTATTGTGTGTGCCTTCAATTCAGAAACCTGATTATATGAACAAGCTGAAATCTGAAGTCCTGTGTCCCCCAACTAGACTCTAAGTTCTCTGAATGTAGGCCCTGGATTCCTATTTCTTTACATTCCTCATGGCATCTGGAACAATACTTGGGCAGAAGTAAATGCTCAGTGAGCACTTCTTGTCTTGCTCAGGAGTAGGGATGTGAACTGAAAAGATCCAAGGGAATGATCTAAAACTACATATTTATTGTAGTAGCCTCAGAGCATGGATAAGGGCTAGACTTTACTGATAGGAACAGGGGCTTCTGAGAATGAGTGCACATATCCCAATAATATCCACTGAATTCAAGAGAAAATCTGAAAACTTCTATATGCCTATGTTTTATTAAAAAAATAATTAGGTTTTATAGTCTATATAGGTGGTCACAAACTCTGCATTTGATCAGTATGGCACACACAGGGGGTGGGAGTAGTGTCACCCGCAGTAGTTTGTTTTTATTAGATATATGGGAAATAATTTCGAACGATTTACATACATATGTAGGTTTATAAATTGTATTATCTAGTTTATTCCCCTCCCCCAAATGGACCAATGACTTTAAAAATTCTTGCGGAGAAACAGGAATTGAAGTCACTACTAGTAAAGTAAGCACAAGTGAGTGGCAAGAAAATGGCAGAAGTGTCTCTTTTTCTACTCAAGTTTGTCATCTTGGTTAGCCAGATGACAAACTAAAAACAGTGGTGGTCTAACCAGATATGACAAGGCTATGGTCCAAAATGTTTTGAAATAGCCAAGAAGACTATATGAAATGGGGATTTACAGCCACTGTCATTGTATTACCCTAATCCTATATGGATAATGTGTTTGGAAGAATTAACTAATGGTATTTGAAGAACTAATGATTTTTGAAAATATCTTTATTTCACTTTAAATTTCAAAATTTCTGTTTCTGCATTTGTCAAAAACATTTGTAATATGTTAGTCCAATAGCTTATCTCTATGTAAATGAAAATAACTACACATATATTGGCTATATATGCTGAAAAAATACTTTATTGCTAGGAGTGCACGTTTACTGGGTTAGAGTGCCAGGCAAACGAGAGCGTTCTTTTTAAAAAATATTTTTTTAATATTTCAATTGCAGTTGACATACAATATTATATTAGTTTCAGATATTCAGCATAATGATTAGACATTTATATAACTTACAAAGCGATCAACCCCGAAAATCTAGTACAAATGTGGGTTGTTCTTGATGGCCCAGTTATCATCATCATGTCACACTGCTCTCACATGGCTGTCTGACTCAAGAGCTGTCTCAGGAATGTGTGTTATTAGTCACTGTGATAATGGCACAGCTGGGAGGAGATGGGTCATTAAAAATTCATCATCACTGTTGAGTTAGAAGTTAACTCAGGTCACATATCCTCTGAGGTCAAGGCATCTTTTGCTTATGGAAAAAGGCAACACTTGATAGAGTGTAATGGATTTTTAAGATATGTATTATGAGTATTACATGAGCATATGGGTTTGTTTATATGTTTGGAAGTGAATAACAACAACAGAAATCTGGAATTTATAATTTTCCAAGTATGTTCTTAATTTATATTAACCTCACAATAACCGTGTAAGGTAGGAGTCATCCCCATTGTATGACAAAAGATGATAACATCAGCAAGGTTAAGTGACTTGCCCAAGCTCACATATCTAGTAAGCATAGAACCAGGGTGCAAATCTAGATAATTGGTATTAGCCAATATATTGCTGTTTGTGCCAAAGATAAGAATTCATCTGCATTTTTATCAAGTCGCCTAATAATTCAAAGGTGTGGGTGTGGACAATTTCTAGACATGAAACACTGGGCAACAGTGGACTCCATGCCCCGAGAGGGAAAGAAAATGTTCACAAATGAGGCCTGGAGATGGAATATTCATTTCATCTATCTGTAGTAGTTGGTGAAAAGCAAGCCAATTTTGGTTAAGTGTATTGACATTGTATCATCTTATGTCATTTTTCAAGTGAAAGTTCTGCAGCTTTTTTTTTTTTTTTTAATAAGCAAGAGATTCCTCCAAGGGGCTTTGCCAACAGTTTTCCCTAAGGTGTTTTGCAGAGCATCAGATAGCAACCTAAATATAATAAATGTGCATCTCTCTGTTAACAGGACCATTGCCAACTATTTGGTGTGGAGGATGGTTTATTCCAGAATTCCAAACCTTAGCAGGCGCTTTCAGTATAGGTGGCTGGAATTCTCAAGGGTAAGTTTTGAAAAGATTGCAATGTTACATCACTTGATAACTTTACATGCAGGAATAGTTTATATATTAGCTAATCCAATAAAAATCATCTTCAGGAATTGGACAGAGGGAGTTTTGCAGGCCAAGCTCTACTTTTTTTCGTTTCTTTATTTTTATTGAGGTACATAGAGACTTAGAGTAAGGTGCAGTTATGGCCCTTTGCTATGACCTCAATATATATAGTTGATGAGGCTATATAAAGATATTTAGGGCAATACTTGGGACATCACATTGTGTTCACACTCCATCTTTTGTCAATTTATTCCCATTTCCCCCATGTGTTTTTTTTCTTTTAACTACTTTTATTGATTTTTTGAGAGAGGAAAGGAGAAGGAGAAAGAAAAACATCAATGTGAGAGTGAAACATTGATCGGTTGCTTCCTGCACATTCCCCACCAGGAATCGAGCCTGCAACCCAGGCATGTACTCTGTCTGGGAATGGAACTGGCAGACTTTTGGTGGAAGGGATTATGCCCAACCAACTGTCCCATACTGGCCAAGGGCCCCCAGTGTTTTTAACTGGTTCACTATAATTATAATTTTAATATTTCTTAGTGATGTATTTGTAACTATTTTTAATTTTAGTATTCTGAATATTTAAAATGTACATGGCATAGCCCTGACCGGTTTGGCTCAGAGGATAGAGCGTCGGCCTGCAGACTGAGGGGTCCTGGATTCGATTCCAGTCAAGGGCATGTACCTTGGTTGCGGGCACATCCCCAATAGGGGGTGTGCAGGAGGCAGCTGATCGATGTTTCTCTCTCATTGATCTTTCAAACTCTCTATCCCTCTCCCTTCCTCTCTGTAAAAAATCAATAAAATATGTATTTAAAAAATAAATAAAATGTGCATGGCATATGTATTAGATAGTAAAGTTTCATTCTTAATTTAGACATAGAGTTTCGTCTTTAATTTTATCTTGATCTTCAATCTTAGAATCTCTCTTAACTCTGTTAGGCCAAAGAGGCCTAAATCTAGACTCCTGGGAGACCTCATTCGACTGTCTGAAACACTTTTCTTCTTCCTCCTTCCTCATCTGACTCTTTGATCATTACTTCTCTGTCACTCTTATTCTCATTTTACATTGGTGTTAACTCTTGTCTTTGTTTTAGAGGCTCTTTTTTAAATCCTCACCCTAGGATATTTTTCTATTGATTTTTAGGAAGAGTAGAAGAGAGAGGGAAAGACAGAGAGAAACATCAGTGTGAGAGAAACACATTGATCAGTTGCCTCCTGCATGTACCCTGACCAGGACCCGGCCCGGGGGGAAGGGGGAGCCTGCAACCAAGGTACGTGCCCTTGACTGGAATCGAACCTGGGACCCTTCAGTCTGCAGGGTGCAGCTCTATCCATTGAGCAAAACTGGCTAGGGCTGTTTTGGAGGCTTTTGTCTGAATAATTCTCCCACCACTAGAGGACTGAAGAATTTTGTGGCTTTTTTAAAAAAAGGTAACATTTTAAGCCCTAGCTGGTTTGGCTCAGTGGATAGAGCGTTGGCCTGTGGACTTGGGGGGGCGGGTCCCAGGTTCGATTCCGGTCAAGGGCACATGTCCGAGTTGCGGGCTCGATCCCCAGTGGGGGGCTTGCAGGAGGCAGCTGATCAATGAGTCTCTGTCATCATTGATGTTTCTATCTCTCACCTTCTTCCTTCCTCTCTGAAATCAATAAAGTACACCTTAAAAAAAGTCAAAATATGCAGATTAGGAAAATTCTCCCGCCTGGACAAAACTGGAGTTGGTGGGTTAACCCGCACTGGGTTTGATTCCGGTCAAGGGCATGTGTCTTGGTTGTGGGCACGTCCCCGGTGGGGAGTGTACAGGAGGCAGCTGATCGATGTTTCTCTCTCATTGATGTTTCTGACTCTCTATCCCTCTTCCTTCCTCTCTGTAAAAAATCAATAAAATATATATATTTTTTTAAAAAGTAAGATTTTAAGAATTTAGTGACTTTAAAAAATAATTTTCTCTGTATTTGAATGATGAATTTTATAAGCTGTGGTTTCATTTAACAAATGTTTTAGTTATTACAGAAACTGGTAAATACAGAAATTCTTAGTGGGTCATTACTCTTGAGGAGTAACACAGTTATTTTGAATGTATTTTGGCCTTTCAAAGTCACTAGACTATTGAGCTTTATATAGAACAGCATAAAACAACTATATATATTGAGGTCATATCAAAG